TTATTGACGTTAAGGATGGGTGGTCGGATAAGGTTATTTGGGTTGGACATTTTAAACGATCACTATTTAGTTGTTAACCTTTTAGAACACAAATTATATTTTTACAATTTTGTTTTGTTTTAACTTTTCAGAATTAATAATAGGAAAATTGTTTTATCAATGTTTTTAGTTTTTGGGTTTTTTTTTCTTAAACGCTATCACTTTTTATCTCTAAATTTACAATACAACTTTATAGAGCATGCCGTCTGTTTTGTTTTAACTTTTCAAAATTAATAATAGGGAAATTGTTTTTATCAATGTTTTTAGTTTTTTTTCTTCACTTAAACACTATCACTTTTCTTTCTAAACTTACAATAAAACTTTGTAGAGCATGCCGTCTCCTGTTGATTCTCCGTATTCCTTTTTGCTTCCGCTACTAAGGGGGTGTCTTCAATCTTTTGAGCCGGCTGGATGTCGTTGACTCTCTCGTACTCCACAAGTTTTTCCCACAGCTTTTGGGGATTTAGTGTTGATTTACAGCCTTTATAGGGTGTCTTCTTCAACAGGTTATTGATGTTTTTAGTTACCAGTACGCAGCTTTATGAGGTGCCTTCTTCCACAGGTTTTGATGTTTTTAGTTAGCAGTTTGCAGCTTATGAGGTGCCTTTATTAATTTGCAGCCGTTTGGGTGCTTTAATTTTTAGTTGACAGTTTGCAGCTTCATGAGGTGCCTTTATTAACTTTGCAGCCGTTTGGGTGCTTTTAATTTTTCGTTGGGCGCCAATTAAACATAACGTTCTTTTTCGAGTGACAAAATGAGACTAACTTTATTTTTCCTTTATTCTTAAAATTAAGTTTTGTTGGACAATGTATTTAGTGCAACTTTAGCACTTTTGATTTTATTATTTCTTAGAGTTAGGTTTCTTAAAATGTAAGCATTTGTCTGTTGTTTATACGAATGAATGACATGAATGCATTGTAAGCATTTTGCAAGCATATTTAAGTGCCATCGAACTTGCACGCGCAACAGAAACAGAAATAAAGAAGTTAACGTTAACTTATACAATGGATTTATGATCATAGATTTTGACCATAAGATGTTGTCAAATGTATAAATTTGAAAAAAAAAATGAAACATATGATTACATGACTTTACCTTCATAGTTTTACCATGCCGACGACTTATGTGGCGTTTCCACTACACTTGATTCGCTCTCTATTCTTTGTTCGACCCTTAACTATGAAAAAACTACTTAATTCTTCACACAAAATTTCCTGAGCGAACACTTATATTTGTACATTGTTCAAATCAAATCACTCTCCGAACAACGAAAAAATATGTCCCATCCCTAACAAATGAGAGCATTTATCGAAAAAATAAATTATGACATTTAAAAATTAAAACTAGAAAAATTTAATGAAATTTTAAAAATTTTTGGGAAGACTGAAAATTATGAATGAAAACTACAATGTTGAATGGCGTATGTACATTCAAACAAAAGTACATTTTGTTTTCTCTTTCATTCGAGGTACGCATTTTGTCTACGAGTTGAAATTTCCACAGAAAACTGCAAACAAAAGAGCAATATTTTCAAAATGTTTCTATAGGCAGAAAAAAAATTTTGACAAGTGTCTCTCCAGCAGAATTTCAAATTAAAAAAATACAAAAATATGTTCAAAATGTCAATATTTACACAAAAACTTGAAAACATGAATAAAAATTGTAAAATTAATGATATAATTATTCTTTGGAAGAAAAACAATAATTTCTTCTATTCATATTAGTGAGAATTTCATGTATTTTTGTATAAATTCCCATTCAAATCAACAAACAAAATTTGTGAAAAAAGGAATTATTTTACTATGAATTACGAATCGTGCCGTATTAACGGGTTAATTCGTGTACCTAATTCTGAGAGCGAACAACGTGATTGAAAGTGTAATGAGAACATAGCATTAAGCCAGTCAGAAAAGCGTTTTATGTTTTCTCACCTTTGGAACGTCATGGAAAGACAAGTTACAAAACTGAAGATGACAATGCAATCGATATTCGATAAAAAAAAACTTGTTGCAAAAAATTACAGAAAATGGGTATAGCAGTTGGATTGCATTTTTATACCCTCCACCAAACATGGTATGGAGGGTCATCGAAATCATATTTTTAGACACAACCAAGTATATATATTCTTGATCAGCGAAAAATTCTAAGACTTAAGAATTAGCCCTGTCCGTCCGTCTGACCATTGAACCACGCTAGAGTCAAAAACGAAAAAAAGATAGAAAGCTAACATTTTGTACAGATCAGTATTTTGTCTGCAGGCAGGTCAAGTTCGAAAATGTGCTATATCGGTCCATGATATCATATAACCCCCAACGGTACCTCCCGATATTCGCTATTTTTATGATATAAGCGACACTATTTACCCGAATTGTTTCAAATTTCGTATTTGAAGTTTGTAACGGGCACTACAGCCTATGCAAAAATATTCCTATGCATCTCCACATCTTTGAATATCCCCCATATAACGGCACACCCCTTTATTCGGTAATTTTATGATTATTCGCTAGAATTGTTTTACGTTTTCGTATAGCCACCGTTCTTTCGGTTCTCTTCATATTTAAGACATCCCATTTCTACTAACACAAGATCTGCTGTGAAGATGGGATATATCGGTCCACTCCTTCTGGTGCTTCCCCACAAAGGGTCAATATATTGAATATCCGTCAAACTCATAAAAAAAAAATTTACTAACACAAGATCTTCAATGAAGTTGAGATATATTGGTCATTCCAATATTTCTACTTTCTAAGGATCAGATATGGAAATGATAGCAATCGATCCCACGGTCATAGTACCTCTCCCCCAAAGTTTTATAATTTTCAATACTTATGTCTCTCAGAACCGACGAAACAAATCAGTGATTCTTTTCAAAATTGGTACATCTAAATATTTATTACAATCATAGATCTGATGTGAATATGGAATTTTTCGAGCCACTATTTCTAGAACCATGAAATTGGAATAAAATGTTCGGGTTTTTCATTCAATCAGTATAAGATGAAATGAAATGCTTTGCTGCACTATTTAGTACATAACGCTTTTCATATTTTCTCATATCCCAAATCGATTTGATACCTAGTGGACTTTATTGGCCAACTCTTTCGGACATATATATCCAATTTTATGCGGAATCATAAATTCCGATTTAAGATAAATATTTGAATATAGGAAATTGGAGAGATTGGCCGACTGGTTTCGCATGTTATAACAGATATAAGTATTGGAAATTGTAACTCTTTGTGGGTGAGGTAACAGAAGGAGTTTGCAGATGTATATCATCGTCACAACAGATCTTGTGTTATTAAAAATGTTTGTATGTGGGAAATTTGAAGAATGGATGGATATATTTGGATGCTTTATTTGCTTTTTTTGAGCGTTTTGTTTTTCAAAACCTTGAACCTTATGTGGGGGAGGTACCAAAAGAGATGGTGCGATCTCTACGATCTTTATAAAAGACCTTGTATTGATGGAAATATGGAGATGTATCAAGTCTGAATGGAATTGGACGTTATTCTCGAGTTTTATGAGTTTCATGGATACTCAAAATGTTGATCCTTTTCGGGGGAGGTCCCAGAAGGAGTGGGCCGATATATCCCATCTTCACACCAGACCTTGGGCAAATAAAAATGTTGTGATGTGTGTAATTTGAAGAGAGTTTTGGTTATTCAATTTTGTGGGGGAGGTACCTGAAGGAATGGACCGATATCTACCATCTTTATAACAAATCTTGTTTTGATAGAAATTTTGAGATGTGCGAAGTTAGAAGACAATCGGACTCTTACTTCACATGTTATAAGATTTGTAATTATTCAAAATTTTGACCGTCTGTGAAGGAGGTACTTGATGGTGGGTACCGCACCTCACCTAGCACTGATGCAAATATTACGATATGCAAAGTTGGAGCAAAATCGGATCATCCTTTCTCTTTCTGTGCAATAAATTATTTGCTTTGAAAATTTCGCCCTTTTGTGAAGAGTTAACAGAATGAGTGAATCCATTATGTCCATCTCCGAACTCGATCTAAGTTTGACAATAATATTACGATGTACCAAGTTTGAATCAAATCGGCTAGACAGCTAGACAGACAGACGGACGGACAGACATCGCTAGATCAACTTCAAATGTCCTGAAGCAGATTTGGTCCAAAGAGACCCAGGGTTTAAAACCGTTATTTCGATGAGGTACGCTTTGGCCGTATCAAATCTAACCATATGGCTAAAGGTATAAAAAATTGTAAACTCTCAGTCATGGCCCAACTATAAGGTGCCCCATCAAGACTAGCTGATTAGCAATCTTAATGTCAAAAAATAAATAAATAGTTTCAAATGTTCTGATCCAGAACTGGATGAATGTAAAACTTTTTACTACGATAACCGATTTTTCCTATATGATATCAAAAAAAGTTGAAAGACTAGAGTCGATTCTTTCGTGTTCTGGGGGACAGAGCAAAAATGTAAACAAATTTAGACATTAAATCTAATTCTCTCTACTCTCACTCTCATCAATGCAAATTTTGCCAATACCATATTTTTCGGCAAATTGAATCAATTTACCTTTAAATCAAAAACTAGAAATACATTTTTCTTCAAATTAACAATAAATATTTTCTGACCTTTTACAGTTGACTCTTTTTTTCATAACCCATGTTTGTAAAAATTACTCTATTTTATGTTGTATTGTACTGCTACTTGACCTCGGCTTTGCACCCTTTTTATGGTTTGACTGCAAATAACACATCATTGTCACTGTCATTGTTGTTATTGCTATTATTGTCGTCTGTCTGTCTGTTTGTCTGCCTGTCTCTCTGTATGTAATGTAAAACGTAAATTAGCCCTTTGTTATGATTTAATAGCAGCAAACAATTTAATTGAATAAATTTTTGATGCCAATTTGTCTCAATTTCTTCTTTCTCTCATCTTCTCTTCCCTTCGCCGCCGTCTTTCTCTTTTCTTCATTACAGAATATCTTTAGTGACCGTACAAATATGCCTATTGGCATTCTCATTAGTATTCATAGTATTTCCACTGGTATTTCGATATTCAGTAACGCTACAAAGAGGCATACTATTTTTAACATTCAGTAAGTATGGCAACTCCACTTTGGTATTGTTGTATATTGGTGCTTAAGTAAACATTCCCTCATTTTATGATGCAGTAACATATCCCAGAGATCTCGATTTAAGTAATCCAGCAAGTGTGGGCCTCTATGCCACACGGAGTTTTCATCTAAATGTACCCGATGCAGATGTGGAGGAAGATGATGCGGAAAATAAACGTTATGTACGGATTGGCTTGTGGCATGTTTTGCCAAAGCATGTGGCCAAACGATTTAGCAAGGAATTGCAGCTGAGTGAGGTAAGTAAAGGGTGAGATGAAAAAACTGCAACCAACTCCAGACTGCTGTCATTTGTGAGACACTCGTCCGACAGCTGTTAAAATTATTCGAGTTACAGCTCCTTATATTATTTACAAGCGTACAAAAGCATTTTGGTGAGAATTTCCTAGAAAAAAAGTTATTCGTGGTGGAATTCAAGCGTGATTTCTTTATATTTGACTGGAAAACCACAAGTGGCCAACGTTAGAGCGCTCCAGCATTTAAATGTGAATAAATCTTTTGTGTCTCTTACCATCGCTCGTTACCGTGTGTTACCGCGTAGACGTCCGACATCAATAAAGTGGGCGGGAAAAAACAGCAACATCAGCAGAAATGGTTCGAAAAGTAAAGAAGCGACTTGATCGAAACCGTCGCCGCAGTGGCCGAAAAATCGCATGTGAGCTGAACATATCGCAATATTCCATTCGGCAAATATTGAAAATAGAGCTCGGGGCAAAGCCATTGAAATTCCAAAAAGTGCAAGAACTTACACCGCAACAGAATGAAAATAGACTCAAAAGAGCTAAAGAGTGGCTTCGCTTGGCCGAAAGTGGTGAACTGCCCAATTTGGGTCAGCAGTTTGTAAACAAACAAAATGATCGTGTTTACTTGCCAAAGAGGTCAGCTGAAAATGTGCACCTTCGGTTGACCACCAGAACTCAAGCGCCGGCCATGGTAATGGTGCGGGCCGCCATAACAGCTCGTATTAATCGAACGTGGTATCAGAATAAATGCGTGTATTAAAGCCTTGGGCACGCAAACATTTTGGCCGCAGACCTTGGACATTCCAACAGGACTCGGCACCATCGCACTCAGGACGCGCCACCCAAGAATAATTACAAAATGAGGTTCCTCGCTTCATTTATAGCACAAAATGGCCCTCAAAATCTACGGATACCAATCCGTTGGACTATTGTGTCTGGAGTATTTGGGAAAGCAAGGTTGGCTCAAAGCTCTAAGCAAGCGCTTCGCCGGGAATGGGCTAAAATACCGCAGAGCAACATTCGGGCAGCGTGTGATGGTTTCATTGGCCGTTTAAAGGCCATAATTCGTGCCAAAGGTGACCAATTCGAACAAATCTAAACTTATTCTAAAATTTGATGCTATTTCCGACATTTCATTCAAAAAAAAAAAAACTTAAAAAATGTAAAAATTATGGCGTTTGACTTTGTTGCAGTTTTGTTGATCTCACCCTGTAATTGAAATCCAATTACGCCTTTAAAATATTAAAGAAATCTGTTTATTTTTTCCTTTCCCCCTAGGAAGCCCAAGAAGATCTGCAAAACATCACCGAGGTGTCCGATGAAAATCTGGATAAACTGGAGGGTGCCATAAAAACATCATTCCCCGTGGTAAATCCCGAAAATCAACAGCTTTTCTATGAACGCCTGCTAAAGGTTCCAGGAAATACAATTGTCTTGTATCTACATGGCAATACAGCATCGCGAGGATCGGGTCATCGTTTGGATGTTTATAAGCTACTGCGAAAGTTGGGTTACCATGTCATATCATTCGATTATCGAGGCTATGGCGATTCAGATCCCATTTCACCCACAGAAGAGGGTGTTGTGCGCGATGCAATGGCCGTGTATAATTATATACGTAATTTAACCTCAAATCCGGTATTCATATGGGGTCATTCGCTGGGCACTGGAGTTGCAACAAATATGCTATCACAGCTGAATTATCTAAACGATAAGGGTATAAAGGGTGTGATATTGGAGGCGCCATTTACAAATATTAAGGATGAAATTCGCATGCATCCATTTGCCAGGGTAAGTTTTGGAATAATGAACTTGGAAGAATAGCCATAACAAAATATTTTTGTTTTATCATTTTAGCCCTTCAAACATCTGCCATGGTTCGATCACACCATTGCCCGGCCAATGTATTTGAATTCACTGCGCTTTGAATCGGATCAACACATCAGTGAATTCCGTCAACCCATCATGATATTGCATGCCGAAGATGATTATGTTGTGCCATTTCAACTGGGCTACAAGCTGTATCGCATTGCATTGGATACGCGTGGCAAATCTTGGGGACCCGTGGAATTTCATCGTTTTGAAGGTTCACGGAAATATGGCCATAAATATATTTGCTATGCCCCGGAATTACCCGATCTTATTCAGAAATTTATCAATAACTACTACAAAGATATTTTCTAAATTATATGGCATTGCAAAAATAGGGATCTCAGCTGGCGCTGTTGCAGCACTGCTGCCGTTAAATAAATTTTGTTAAAAAAAAAAAAAAAAAAAAAAAAAAAACACTGCGACTAAAACATAGATTAAGTGTGCTTTTAAAACGTATTTATTAGGAAGCAAGGAAGAATGAAAAAAACCACAAATTTGTAGCTTTGAAATGTTTGTACTCCCTCCACAACCTTAGTGATCCTAAAGAAGAAAGAAACCTGAATTGTCATTTTAGTACCCCTACATAGCACCCTCATTAATCCAAAAATGTTTGTACTGTCCACAATTTTAGTGACCCTTAAGAAGAAAAAACCTGAATTATCATTTTAGTACCCCTACCTAGCACCCTCACTAATCCAAAAATTCCCTCCATGACCTATCATATGTAGTATTCCAAAATTTCCCCCCACCATTGTGATCTGTATTCACTGAATACTGTGTAGCAGTGTACAAGGATTATAATCTATTGTAGGTTTGCTTTTTTTCATTGCATATTATTTGAGCCGTGATTTCAATATTTTTTAAGTCATAGTATTAAACATAATTTTATTTTAAAATTATTCAATCTGCAAGTGAGTTAGATTCTACTAAAATACATATATATGTAAGTTACTATCGAGTAATGTATAACACAATGATGAAATGAAATAAATGTTTGTATTTCTCTAAAAATTGTTGTTATACTCCGTCGAATATTAAGCAGGAAATGGGAGCTTTTAAAGAGGTTTTTTGACAGCGAACAAACAAACACCTACCCTGCCTCATTTATTTATTAAACATACATTATTGCAGCTGTAATAAAATCCGAGGAGTCCAGGTTGGAAACAGCTGAATTAACTGACAAAGCCGAAACAGGGGAATGCCAATCGAGGAAGAGAATGCGACAGAGGAAGAAGAAATTGACATGACCTCACTTGATGTTGATAATCAACCTGCTTTTCTATATTAAGAAATCTTAAGTCAATTGCCACTTCTTGTCAAGGTACTACTTGCATTGTAGGCGATTTCTAAAGTCCACGTTTCCGAGCATAAAGTTCTGTTTTCCCATTTATATACATGATCAAACAAGAATATGCTATGCTTGGAATAAAAGGTCCCAAGAGGCTTTCTGAAGGTAAAAAACGTCCAGGCAAATCCAAAATTGAAATTTCTCTCGTTAAAATGATCTCACACCAAGTTGTTCGTTGGAAAGAGAAAGTCATTTTGTGTAAGCGTTGTCAGAACTGGGCGCAATACTTGAAATATCGAAAAAAATTTCGCTAGGTACTTGCCCAAAAAAAAAAACAGTAGCGAAAAGTCAAAAGTCGGACGGGCCGACTATATGATACCCTATGCATAATAAGTAAAGCTCCCATAACAAAAGAATTTATTTGAAGTAGATCATACCTCCTATCAACCTTTGGCTTTAGAACAGTTATAATTTAAAAATATATGGGAGGCATATTCAATTCTCAATCGACTTTCACTAAATTAGACAAAGACATTTTAATCTTTTATACCAAAAAATATAGCATGATATCACTTCGAGAAGGATTATATTAAAAAATATGTATCGGAGCCGAGTTCCACAAAATGGAAACGTACATCCCGAATTTCACTCCATTTGGGCTGATATTAGCCAAATAATGGCACAATGAACCTGAAATCGGATTAAGGATATATATGGAAGCTATATCTAAATTTATGTCGATCTCAATAAAATTTGGCAAAGCTCTATAAGATGTCTGGTACCAAATATTGTTGTCGAATGCATATTATGAATGTGGGGGACTTAAATACCAAATCGTATGAAACATATATGCAGGGTGAGATTAAAAAACTGCAACAAAGTTAAATACCATAATTCTTACATTTTTTTTTTTTAATTTTATTGAATGAAAGTAAAAAATCTCGGAAATAGCTTCAAATCTTAGAATAAGTTTAGATTTGTTCGAATTGGTCACCTTTGGCACGAATTATGGCCTTAGGTTAGGTTAGGTTAAAGGACGCGCAGCTGCATTTAGCAACTGCTCCACTCGGAGACCTATAGGTCCATTGTGTTCATCCTAGGAAAGAGTTAGAGCGAAAGATAGAGAAAGTATAAGAATTGACAGTAGGAAATAGATAGTACGTAGTCTACGGCTGAGTTTGCCGTGTCGTCTTTAGCCACTTGAACCTTCTGGCTAATTGAAGGATCACTGCAGGGTCCGTGGTAGAAAAAGAGGACAAATCACGTGACACTAGTTCTCCCACTAGTTTATGTCTCACGTTAATGAGCGCTGGGCAGTGGCAGAGCAAGTGTTCGATTGTCTCAATTTCTTCTTCATCTTGACAGATCCTGCAGTAATCAATATCATCGCTGTCCCATTTTGAGGTCATAGCCCTCACCTTACAGTGACCTGTGATGATGCCCACCACAAGTTTTAAATCTGGTTTAGACAATGACATCAGCGATCTTGTTCTCTTCTCTGAGAGCACAGGCCAGATTCTTTTGGAGATGGTACATCCCGTTTCATCCAGCCATTTTTGTTGTGTCTTTTCCTGGTAGTGTTTGCGAACGATCTGTAGGAAGTGGCACAGTGGTGGTTTGACCGAATTATCTATTTCTATTGTAGTTGATTCGGATCCTAGCCTGGCCAATTCATCTGCAGTTTCGTTACCTGTGATATTGTAATGGCCGGGAACCCAACAAAGCTTGATTGACAACCTAGAGTGTTCCAAGGCTTCCCTGCAGCTTAAAACAGCCCTAGACTTGATAGTAAAGGAATTTAGTGCTTTCAGTGCCGCCTGACTATCGACATATATAGTCACCGGACTTCCGACCTCTATGTTCCTCGTGACTAGCAGGTCTATGGCCTTTTTGACCGCCAGGATTTCTGCCTGAAAAACGCTACAATTGTTTCTGAGCTTGTAGGATTCACGGATATTAAGGGTGTCACAGAAGACACCTGCTCCCGTACCGCATTCCATCTTTGAGCCGTCGGTATATACAGATATGCCGCGGAAAGGTGGGCTGTTTTGGGACCAGGCTTCTCTTTCAGGTATGTGTATATCAGGTGGGCAGAAGCTTAATCGTGGTGAAATATAATCACTTGCATAGGCTATCTCTCCCACAGTCCTTACACGCCTTAGAATCGTAGAGTGACCAAATGGTTGACTACGCCATTCACCTAGTTCCCTGAGCCGAAGAGCACACCTGAATGCCAGTTCCTCTACATGTATGGCCAGCGGGCTTAAACCCAGTAGAGTATCTAGCGCAGCTTGAGGCGTGCTCCTAAAGGCACCCGTTATTAGTAAGGATGCGGCTCTTTGGACTTTGTTAATGTTGCGTGAGTAAGTTGGCTTCTTTAGAGAATGCCACCATACTAGAGATCCATAGGTTAGAATGGGGCGAACGATTGACTCATACAACCATTTAATGATGTATGGTTTGAGGCCCCAGCTTTTACCTATGGAGTTCTTGCAAGAATAGAGTGCGATAAAACCTCTTTTGGCTCGTTCCTCAATATTCCTCTTCCAACTTAATTGTCGGTCAAGGATTGTACCAAGGTATTTGGCCTCTGGTGAGAGGTTTAGAGTGACTCCATCTAGTCTTGGTAGTGTAAATAACGGATATTTACGCTTCTTAGTGAAAAGTACGAGCTCTGTTTTTGCTGGGTTCACGCCTAGCCCGTTTTGACGTGCCCACCGTGATAGAGTGACTAGAGCTCCTTGCATTAGGTCCGAGATTGTTTGCGGGAATTTCCCGGCAATTAGTAGGACGACATCATCAGCGTATGCGACTACTTTCGTCCCCGTTACCTCTAGATCTATAAGTATGTTGTTAATAACCAAAAGCCAGAGTAACGGTGATAGGACGCCCCCTTGTGGCGTGCCCCTAGTGACCGATTTCCTGACAGATGTTTCCCCAATGCTCGAGTTGATGATTCTGCTGCTAAGCATGTTATCAACCCAGTCTATGAGGAGTTGTGGCAAATTAAGTTTTGATAGTGACTCATGAATGGATTCCAACGTGACGTTGTTGAAAGCTCCCTCAATGTCGAGGAAGGCAGCCAATGTGAATAAGGAGCCATTCATGTTCTTCTCTATATACCCTACGACATCATGTTGCGCTGTCTCAACAGATTTGCCTTTCATATAGGCATGTTGAGCAGTGCTGATGGCGGTTTGGGGTATTAGAGATCTGATCTCTATGTCTATCAGCCTTTCCAAGGTTTTCAATAGGAAGGATGAGAGACTTATCGGTCTATAGTCCTTGGGAAGTGAGTGACTCGGTTTCCCCGCCTTGGGGATGTAAGTGACTGTGACTTCCCTCCATGATTCTGGGATGTAGGATAGACGCAGACAAGCTTTAAAAATCTCACTCAGTACTGGTGATATTACCGCTGAGACATTTTGGAGCATAGCAGGAATAACACCATCTGGTCCTGGAGATTTGAAAGGTTTGAATGTATCTATGGCCCACTTGATTTTGGGTAAACTTACTATTCTGTCAGCCAAGTCTTGGTCCCTAGTTGTATGATCATGATGTACTTGATCGGTTTGCCGATTGCTTGTCGCGTCAATACAGCCGGGGAAGTGCGTGTTGGCTAGCAGGTTAAGAGTCTCTAGTCCAGAGTCAGTCCATGTGCCGTCAGTCCGTTTTATACTTCCGATGGATTTAGGGTCCTTCGAAAGGACTTTACGAAATCTGGAGGCTTCGTTGACACTTTCAATCGACTCAGTAAAGCATACCCAAGATGAGCGCTTGGCCTTCTTGATCTCACTGTTGTACTTGTTGAAGGATGCTTTGTAGGCATCCCAGTCCGTACTATGTTTGGTCTTGTTGGCCCTATTGTACAGTCGTCTACTATCCCTCCTTAAATTGGCTAAATGTTTTGACCACCAAACAGGTTGACATTTCTTTCCCGGATGGGTTAGTGGACAGACTTTTTCATAACACCCAATTAAGGCACTAGTTATCGCATTTACGGAGTTGTCTATATCGAGGGTTGAGGTTAAGACCATGTTGTCGAAACGGTGAAGCCAGGGTATAGCCAGCTCCGTAAATTTGTCCCAATTTGCCTTTCTTGGGTTTCTATGAGGTTTTTGATGAATACCCTCCACCAGTATTTTGAAATTTATCTTTCGATGGTCTGAGAATGAACATTCGAGAGAAACTTTCCAATCTAGTATGAGAGATTCATCCATGTTAGTAAGGGTGAGATCAATGACCTCAGCCCTGTCTTTGACTAGAAATGTTGCATCGTTGCCCCTATTACATATTTTAAGGTTATATTTCAAAATAAAATCAAAAATCGACTCACCTCTGACGTTAGTATTCGTACTGCCCCATTGGAAGTGGTGTGCGTTGGCATCACAACCTATAATTATGTGCCCGTTGTTGACCAGATCGTCGAGCAGCTCCTCTACCTCGTGGCCGGGTGGGTCAGGTCGCTCATACGGTAGGTAGAGAGAAATGAAAAAGAGAACCCTCCCGGATTTGCATTCCATTCTCGCTACCGTGACGTCTCCTCCACTGTAGTTGCTAAGGAAGATAAGATTTAAACTCTTTTTGGCAACAATACACGTCCTTACCTTATCACCATTGGAGACCGCGTAAGTGACATACTGCCCACTCCCTAACCCAGTTACCCTATTATTGTATGTATAGGGTTCCTGGATTAGGGCTATGTCAACTTCAGATCTCGTGA